AAGTCGGAGACTGCGGGAATGATAAGGGAATCCATAATTCATGGCCGCAGGGGCACCTTCCCCCCCTCCCAGCCCCCCTCGTGGGGGTAAAAGGAGGTTGTTACTATATAAGTTGGGGTTCTCTTCAAAATTTTGAAATTATTCTATTTTATTCAGAAAGTATGGAAAGTGTTACCTCGAATCAATACTCAGAAATCCAAAATCTGCCCATTTATGCACCAGATATCGATTGCTAAAGGTGGGGGACAGGGACCTACTCCCTAAAATTGACAAAAGCAAAATTGACATGGGCCACAGATATGTTTCTAGGTAATCGACCATCAGGAATCTCAGTTTTATAGCACCCCCAAGCCCCCCATATATTTTCTGATATGATACAGTGGGCTCTTAATTCAGAAAATTTACAAAATTAAAGTATATTACATCAGAAAATGTTAGGGGGCTATGAAACTGTCACATTCGGATTCATGATGGTCGATAACCTGGGAAATCATCTTTTTCCTGAGCCTCTCCCTCAGTTTAGGGACACTGAATTTTGCGAAAGGTGCTTACGACCTCCACCTTAGGAGTCTATATTTTGAACAAATGCTGGATCCATCAATTTTTAATGGGTTTTTTTCTCCTCGTCCAATTTTAGACTGAAACACTGTGCGTAAATAGCTAGAGAGCCAGGGAAAAACGGTAAGGCAAGTGTTGCGGTCAACGAGGACATGTTCAATCCGTGAGTGTCAATTTTCAACAAATGGAGAAACACAAATGGAGTATCTCTGTGGGTCTCCGCGAAAGATTGGCTTGGTGACTTTAACGCCCGGGTAGAAGGATAAACGGATAAAGTCTAGGGAGTGTACGGCAACTAGGATGCAAGATTTCGGTCATTTCTTTTGCCTGCGTACAAATGGAGGACCTCTTTTCACCTCGTCTGACATGTGACAACGTCTACAGGCTCATACAGCATTCTTCCTTGGCACGACAGTTTATACGAGTTATAATATTTCGAACCGAAATGAGCCAATTTTGGATTTTTCGGTATCGATTTGGCATACAATTTTCTGTTCTTTCAAAAAATAATAATTTCAAAATTTTGAAGGGAACCCTAACTTTTAAAGTCATTATTCCCCTTGTATCCTACAAGGGGTGGCGGGAGGGGGGGTTGGGTGTGGCATGAAATTTGGATTCTTTGGGGTCGATTCTCTATTTTTCCCTGAAGTCTCGACTTAATCCGATCTAAAAAACCAAGAAAAAAGCCTACTTAGTACCGTTAGTTTAGGTCACCATTTATGTTGGTTTTTATGGTCAAACTTCAATCAAGAATGAAAAACTGGAAAAAAAAAAACACATTGGATCTAGAGTCCAGACTCTTAAAAACATCGAAAAGAAAAAGTACTCTTGATTCAATCAGAATCTAGCTTAAATCAAGAACCAAGCCTCTTAATTTGAGCGGATTTCGTTTTGATTCAAGCAAAAATACGATTGAATTAAGAGTACCTATTTTTCTTGTAAATGTTTTTAAGAGTCTGGACTCTAGATCCAATGTATTTTTTTTCCAGTGAAGGAAAAATCTGTTTCTGTTTTACTACTATGAGACCACGCTACTGACCTCTTGCTATGGTCCAACCAAAAGTGTTGGTTGGCCCTGCTCAGTGTAACTTGATTCATAGTATGGCGCACATTGATAAAACACACCAGGATCAAAAAAGCAGCGCGTAGACATGGCCTTACTTCAGAATGCGGTTGAACTTCCCTTCACCAGCACAGTAATTAATTAGCAGTTTCTCTGTGGAACGAGAATGCCGCGGGAAACTAGACTAAGCCACCGCTGGTAGATATATTATTTCACGGTTCCTAACTTTCAGAATTCAGGGCGACAACGCAACGCCACAACGCTCGCTGTGCGGGAGCGGCAATTCTCATCATCCTCCACCCTCTTCCCTTCAGTGGCGTGGCGTGCTTTGCGATGTATCGATTTTTATGCCATTTAAACCTATGGAAAAGGATCGATAAACAGGGTGTTCGCAGCGAACACCTTAATAATCGATTCTTTACCATAGGGTTAAATGGCATAACAATCGATATATTGCAATTCACGCCACGCCACTGCCTTCTATTTTAAACGCCATTAAGATAAGTATCGATACGCAGGAATGAATAGCTTCTAATTCTGGGGGTTCTGTTTAAGAAAAAATAGTGAACACTGCAGATTATCGAAATTCTAACAATTTAATGAGATGAAAAAATTTAATGTAGGTATGTGCTTACATTTACGAAATTGAAGGGCCAATATGTGGACTGACAGTGACTTTCATTTGCAGAATTTCTAGATAAGAAGAAGTACCTACGGAAATCATGCATGCATTTCAGTGTGTGACATTACATGCATACAGTATTTAAATCGTACTTTTTTCTCAAATTTACAAATATAGTAGAGTCCATGCCAAATAAGTTTACCCTCTTTTAGACTGCGACAAAAGATCTGCCATCTTGCTTCTTGCATTTACTTTACAGGTAAAAATGACGTCGAGCGATCTTCAGTCGCAGTCTAGAAAGGCAACTTATTTTGCGTGAACTCTATATTTCCCGCACCAATGACGGACAGATGTTCATACATTTTAAAAGTCCTATTTTTTGTTGCTTGATAAAACTCAGTCGAATTATTTTTTCTCTTATTCCTATATGAACTTGCGGTTTTTTCACATACAAGTTTTACGATTTACTCGGAGTTCGATGCGAAGTTTTCATGAACCAATCTACAAAATACATTGAAGTGGCAACCGCGCTTTTAACAGTAATTACACGGGATATAACATCATCCCGGCCGGATAAACGGAGGCGCTCACGCCGCCGGCCGCGAAGAAAAGTGCGTCAAATTGATTACTACGTCACCGTTTAAAGCGTTAACAGTCAAAGATGCGCATACCACATTGCCGTTTTTGTCGGATCTTAAAATTGAACCACAGGTGTATTTGGTCAAAAATTTAAAATTACTTTCAAAGTCTTGGGAAAACAAATATTGTGTATCACACATCAATGGATAAAGTCGAAACTGTGTTTCTCGGATGGAAATGCGTTTCTCTACTCACTATGTTGTTGCATATTGCACGGTTGTAAAATTTTATCGGCACTATACACAAATTACTACATACACTTAAAACTTTTTGGAAAAAAACTTACTTCTTTCTTACTTACTTCTTTTTGGAAATGGCCATCGTGCATAGAAAATAAGTAAGTAAGTGATATTAATCGGTTTTCCCAAAAAGTTTTAAGTTTATGTAGTAATTAGTTTCTCTACTCGTGCTTTATCTATTTATGACGCAAATTAACCTATGGTTTTCTTTGAAATTTTCTGGGAATTGTTTTCAATTACGAGTAATTCCCATTTATTCTTGTGGCCCTTAACCAACGAGCACACACCCTCTTTCCCACTCGTCTCTGGTTCCTTTAAGCATGAATACTTCCAATTTTGCTGCACTCGCCCTAGTTTTGCAATCTTTTTCATTTAAAGAAATAATTTATTTTTTGTGTGCAAGATTCTCTAAATCAGGCAATGAATTGAATATTACTTATGTAGAACGGATGTGTTAAGGATGATATTTGTGGGTACTAACATGTAGAAATACTTACCATCCCCTTTCTCGGCTCAGTGGCCAAAAATACGGTTCTTAAATTTGAAACTCACGACTTCTGAGCCCGGAATAGACGGTCTGTCCGTGTCCGCCAAAAACGTAGGCTATCAGACCTGTATTTTTATGTATTTTAAATTATTAATTTTTATTTTATTTTATTTAAGCAGATGTTTTTAAAAAATGACAACAGCGCACAGTTTCGAGCGCGACCTTGACTCTATTTTACTCGGTTCATGCTATAATTATCACGGTTTTCTTTAGACTTTACAGCGATGTAAAATGCTGCGAAAAAACCCTCTATTTTTGAAATAAACGAACTGATCCTTAGCTCTAGGTGGCAATAACCAATGGAATATTGTATTATATCCTTCCAGTTCTATTTAACCGCACGCTAGTCTTAAATCGTGGTTTAACTTCGATTTAATATCCAGTTATCTCATCATTACTTCAATGAGGAGCTACAGACATCCGTTTCCGTTTAGGGGAAGCATAACAAGCAAGAGACATTTGTCTCTGCATAATGAAAAGCTAATTCTTCATTACGTCTCTAAAGACGTAAAACATGATGAGTTCAGTGTAACGGGTTATGAGAAATATGAAAATGAGCTTCGCGGTTTACAGGGAAATAAGGCGTAATCAAGAATGATGTAATTACCTATTCGAAAGATTCTCTAATTTTGGTGATGTCATTAACCGGAGAATAATTTAACGCAATAATTTGTCGGAGTATTCTGTCTTTATGGTCGGAATAACAAATAAGGGGGGATGAGGTTTATGCCTTGCGACTTCCAAAGCTGCATTTCTGATCCTGAGAGTTTCATTTTAACAAAATGGAATCAAAAGTAAGAGAGTATCAGCTAAGTTCTGATGAAAATTAATATAAATTACAAACATTACATAATTTTTGACGTAAGTTAGAACTATTTTCCATGTTAGATCCGCCACAAAATTTGATATCTAAACTGTTGTACAGTTCATTTGTTTAAGGCAGCCTAATTAAGTATCTTCTGATTGTGTTCCTGATTAGAAATCCGGTGGATATTTTTGTATGGTAAAAAAGATTAAATAATTGAAATGTATTATTATCTGTGAATATGTTGTTCCAATGAATAGTCTATTCTCGATTCTTACATTCGTTTCAAGGGTGAGTCAGGTAATGCACCAAAAATGTCATAGCATCAAATTAAAGGATTTGCCTTGCAAATATTTTTCCTAATTTTTTCCATTTCCAATTTGCCACTGTTTTTCAATGTTAAATGTTCCATTTATCGGAATTTATTTTCATGATGCCTCCCAAATTTTTATCATATCCCATAAAATGATATAAATTTTCTTAAGATGGTTGTTATTAAAATTACTTTATTTTCTTTTTGATTTCAGAAACTCGCCGAAGATGAGGAAACGGAACTTGAGGGCCAAATGATATTCGGTTGAGCTCGACCCGGCAGCCACACCAAAAATCAAAGGATTTTGACCCGAGGCAAATCAGGGACCGATCATGGACCTGAAAAAGAACGCGCCACTGATCAGCATCAAGCTGATCATGTCCCTCTTAATAGTGCTTTTCGTGTCAATAATGAGTGTGCGAACTGAGGCGGACAGCCTGTGCTTTAGGTACGATAAAAGAATCAACAAATTAGTAAAACTATTAGATAATTTTTTAAGTAGGGACTCTATCCAGTTGCTGGACGGAATAGTCATTAAGAAATACAAAAACCAAAAATCTAGTGGTAGTGTTAGTAATAGTAGCGATTCGAATAAAAATAGCGATGTGAATAGTGATCCGATTCTAAACCAAGATAATAAATTCGTTTTTCAAATATCCAATATGTCCAACAGTGTAAGTGAGAATCAGTGCAGTGATTTCGACGATTATATATTTCAAAAATTGGGAGATTTTTTCACGGAAAAAGTGATCGACATTAGGATTCCTCTGGTGCTCGACCAAAGTTTGTCAACGGAAAACGCCGAAACTGGTGAGTAATTTTTTAGTTTTCCCTTAGTTATTTCCTTACGAAAAATAAAGATTTTCTCATCTTCAGGTGGATATTAAATTTCGAAATTAACTGCAGTGTCTCTATTTCAATTTAATTTTCAGCAGTCACTTCTCCTAATGTCTAAAAAAAACTGATTTATTACTTACGTATTGTTTCCACTGTATAGTGTCTGTACAGTGAATCTGTTACCTACAAAATTTCGGTTTAAATGAAATCCTATTTTTTAGCCGTCTCCAAGTTCAAGGGACTTTGTTAATTGGGGCACATTTAAAGACTCTATACAGACAATTGCCGTGTTATAACGCTCTCTAAATAAAGGAAAACATAATGGCAGAGCTTGCGCGGGGGGATAGGGTACAAGAAGAATACACCTAAAGAATGGGCTTAAACAAGCTGTTAAGTATAAAAAACGCTGATTAGGAAGGCTCTGATCATTCGGAATTACTTTCGAATTTCTCAGCCTTCTTAAAATTTCAAAATTTGCTTTTAATATTCCAACTCATCAAAAATTTGTAAGTGCAGATCATTTTACGCAGAGAAAGTTTGAAATCAGTGGGCAAAAATGTTTTTGTAATGAAAAAAATCTCATGTGAGCATGTTTTAACATTTTTTTTTTAGAACGAGAGTCAAGTCACGCATGCTCTTTCAAGGCCTAGACAAGTTTTATGCAAAAATAAAATGGAAGAAATGTGTTTTGACACACAACACTCTGCATACGTTTGATTACATGTTTGAAACGAAGAGAAAATGAGTGCTCAAGCACTGAAAAAATTTTTTCTTAAGATATTATTTGGACTTACAGCGTCGTTTTTTGACGACAGAATTTGGAGTTTTATAAAATTTGAATTCAGTGTTTTTTTAGTTAAAAACGCACCGTTTTGTTATCGTTAAGTTTAAGTTAAAAATACGATGGCAAATAACGTTTCTTTAACTTAAAATACTGACTTTAAGTTAATTAACGAAAAAAAAAAAAAATTCGGCAAGAAACGACGCTTTAAGTCAAAATGATATCTCCTCTAAAAAAATTTCAGTGAGGCGTGACACTTTTCAGTATGAGTGGGGTAATTTGAGGTTGAGCTATTAGTGATGAAACGTTTTACGAAATGCAATGCTTTTCTATACGTTCGCGGTGAAAAGTATGGTTTGCTCAAAAGGGCAAAAAGTAGTGTTATTTGATGTTCCTTCATTTCTCCGTCCCTCTGATGTAAGGGCGTATCTCGCGATTTCTACATGAACTCAAGAGTGAATGGATTCATGTGTAAAACAGGGCTCACGCGAAACTTGAGGTACGCCCTTACGTTAGAGAGGCGACAATTCGTGCAAGAGTGTTTTACAAAATCGGTCATAATTCGTTTCTACAAGACAAATCATAAAAAAACGAAAAACTAAATTTATATTATAAGGAGGCAACTCTCTTTTGCAGCCAACGAATATTTTCTAAGATAAAGCTGAAGCATAGAACGAATTCTTCCAAGGGTATCCATTTTTGTCCCCGAGCTAACTCATTGTAAAGCTTTGTATGCAAATACACGTTCTTAAATCGGACTTTTTGAGGACACGGAAGAAATTATGAGTCTGCGATCCAGTAAGAAAGTTTGCCACTGCCAAAATCACTCATATTTTAGAGGCTAATTAATTCTCCTCGCGTGCATTTCTTTAACAGAAATATGAATAATTCGAGGGAAAGTAAGTCACTGGAGCACATTCAGCGATAGTCTTTTTTTATAAGTGCGCACCATGCAAGCGTGCTTTGAAAGGTGATTTCTCTGTGAGTTCATTATAAACAATGATTTGATCTGTGTTTCGTAGATATTTTAAGTATACTTAATTATTAACATTTTTTACAATTAATTCCCAAAATTGTTTTGAAAAGGTGCATCTCAAGTGATGATGTATCCGTTTCTAAAATGAGTTAAAATGAGTAAAGGAATTTTTAATAATATAAACAAATTCACTTATCTTTAATCGCCCTTATTTCACTTTGAGATGTGATAGCTGATCCTTACAATAGAACGTTCCAGAAAGATCATTCTGAAAATTTCGGAAAGTTGATTGAACTCATTCATCAGTGAAAACAATGTAGTGAGCCAAGAAAGAGAGGAAAAGTTTATTTTAATTTGAACAAATAGAAAACAACGCTGCAGAAAAGAAAAAAAAAACATTGAAGTGAAGGGATATAATCATTCTACAAATATTTGCAAAATAAGTAAAACGCATGTATTTGTTTGCATTTAAATGATATCGGTATGGACTCGTCACGCAGAAATTCTGAAAGTGGATAATCTTACAGGCACTTAAAGGCTGCGAGGAATAATCCTCAATAATATCGGTATTAGTCTTGACAATTTTTGCCACGACCAAAAACTGTTAAGAAACATAACAATTTTTCTTAATTTGTTTTCAGCCCGAGTGTTCAGTAAAAGCCCGTTTTTGACTGGATTTGGGCTGGGATTCCTGGCATTCGGACTGAAGAAACTGCTGTTGCCTCTTTTCATCGGAGCGCAAATCATCAAGTCAATATTAATAGCCATGTTCTTGCCTAGTATTCTCGGCAGCGTCGGAAAATTGGTCGGAAAAGGTACAAAACTTTCATTTTTTTCCCGTACCTCCTTTTTATTCTCAACTAAAAACCGAGACACAACTATTACTTTCAACATACGTGACAATAAATAGACGTGAAATGTGACCCACCCAAGTGCATATATGAATACCACAATTTTATTTACCATATCATATTCATCAAGGTACGCCGTGAACTCTTTTCCCGTCGATTATTTTCACTTACAGTAAATGGGACAAGATGTAACGTTTTCAAAGAAAAAAACCAAGTGTAAAGTAATGAAAGTATTTCAGCCGATATCTGGTGTTTCTAAAACTTCAATCGAAAACGGTCAAAGAATACAGCGGTTTGAATGTAAATTATTTGATTACATTCATCAAGATGAACCAGATCTTAAGCTACGATGCTTTGTTGTCATAATGCTGTAATTTAACTGAACGAGCTTCTGTTTTGAACTATATACTTACTATATACTCTTTATATAACTAATCGTAGGTTTTGCTTGAGTAAAACCAACTTTTTTTAACGAGTCATGTGTCGTGTTCTGACCTGGCGTTCAAGCGTTCGTCGTAATGTACATTTGAAAGGCAATCGTTCTCATATTGACCACGTCAAGCTGTACATTACCTGAACGTGCTGTTGAAGATCAAGGAAACATTTTTAGACTAATTAGTTTACACTTTAAGATGAATGATCACCATCTGATAACAGTACAGCATACCTAAAAAAAGTTGGGCGGACCTTCTTGTGGGTGAATGTATAATTCTGTTGCTAACTTTCAAATACAGTTAGGGAACTAACTTTATTTGAAAGTTAGGAACAGAATTATACATCCAACCACGAGAAGGTCCGACAAACTTTTTTTACATTCAATTGTGAATTTCATCCGCGCAAAAATTATAGAACAATCTGCACCAGGAACTTTTTTGAGAATGAAGTGACATTTGAAAAATAGAGAATGTGCAAAATATTCCCTTAACAGTAACGTAGCTTTCGTTGAAAAAATAAGACGGAAAGGAAATGGAGCGATCTTATTCGTTGAAGCGGGTGCGGTTGCAATGGACAAAGGAGGTAAGTCATACACTACCTAAACACAACCCACAAGAGACCCTACCCTTAAATTATGCTCTAACATTTTCCCCTTTAGTCCACAACAGCCACCCGTCTTAACTTGTAGGATCGCTCTGTTTTCTCCTTATCCTCCTTTTTGATATAGCTTTGTCTTTCAACTTCAATAGCAGCCCTCAGACTATGAAATTCGGAAAGTTTGGAGACGCATCCCAACTAACGTAAAAACGACGGACAAAAAGCCAGGAGCCGATGAGACTACGCCATTCCAAGCATCACGCAGTCGATGGCGTGTGCAGCTCATGACATACCCCGGAGACTCAAACGAAGGGTTAGAAAAGTAGAGCCGGCTTTATGTCTGTCTCAGCAGCTCATGAAACTTTACATAGTTGCAATATTGATTAGAAAGTATGAATTTAAATGACTAATACCGTGCCAAAAAAAAACGCTGTTAAGCATTCAGACGTTGCCAAATTTTCTTTTATAAAATTTGGATTTTTTGGGAAATTTATAGATGTTTTCCCTCTAATACCACAGTGAATTTCACTAGCAATTTGATCTTAAGTATCTGAAATATTCAAGCAAAAAATATTCAAAACTTCCCTCAAAAATATATATTTTATTAGGGAACGTTTGGCATCATTTGCATGTTTATACGGTGTTACTCTTTAGTATGGCATTACTCTTTACCTGGAAATTAGAATAATTTTGTGATACTGGCAGATCGATGGTTGAACTGACACCACATATCTCCATTGCGGCGTTTCGAAACCTCCGTTCCTAATTTATTTTTTCGAAGAGAAAAAAGTCAACTTCAGGTCTTGTCCACACGGGCGCAGCTTGGACGAATTGGTTCCGCGAACTGGGGAGTTCGAGGAACAAGTCATAGCTGATTTATAATAAGTTCTGGAACAAGTTATAGCTAAGTTAAAGTAAGCTCTTTGAACAAGTTCGCCCGAAGTTCCGCGATCCATGCCCGTGTGGATAAGGTCTTACAGTTTAGAATTTATACAGAGTATTCCATACTAACAGAAAAGAAAAATCAAGGAGTGCAAGGAAGTTTTCAAAAAATTACGTTGATTAGTACTCTATAGAAAAAATAAAGTACTACTGGAAGTCTACAACGCCGCAAAAGGAGGGTCTGGCTGAGATTATTAATGGACCACTAGACAAGGTACAAATTGAAGCATTTTAATATTTTTCCTAACCAGAATCTCACGTGGAACACGATTTGCGCAACGAAAATTACTGAAATCAACTCCTAGGGAAGATTTTAACGTTTTTATTTTACATTGGTTACGAGGAATTTAAAAAGGCCCGCTCATAAGAAACTCAAAGCTCTACGTGAGTCAAATCGCGCACCACAACGGTTTCAGCGAGCCTCTCAATCGAGCAAACGTTCATTTCCCACCATGTGTTGTTCAAACTATAAGCAATTTGCTACAACTGAGCCAAAGCGTCAAGATTGAGGTTGCCAGATTTTTATATCGCAGAGACTGTCATGATTATGTTTAGCGCGCAATGTGAATCACGTATAGCATTGAGTTTTCATGAGCGGGAGGGTTTGAATTCACGCATCAAGAATCATTTAATTTCTTCATTAGGAGTTGATCTCGGTAATTTTCGTTGTGCGCATCGTATTCTACGTGAAATTTTGGTTAAGAAACCTGTATCAGAATGCTGAAATTCGTACCTTGTCTAGTGGTCCATTCTGAGGAAAAACAATCTTTCGACAGATTATTGATTATTGTTTTCCCACGCCTGACAATGAGCGCCAAGAGCTTCCTTCCAATGCTCACTCTCTTCCTCTCGCTTTCTTTTATCCCGGCGGGCGCTCGGCGCTCTCCCTCGGGAGCGGAGGAAGCAGACGCGGACACGGACGCGAGCGCCGGGGTCGGCGAAACGAAAGTGATCGTAGCGGCAGCGGCGACCGGAGCGCGATTGTATCCGCGTGACGCTACGGCCCCGGCCCGGTCTCGCCAAAACCGGTTGTGCCCAAATGTGGCACACGCCAGCCGCGCCGCCGCCGGTGCCATCGCCCCGCCGCGCTATTGAACTTGACCCCGCGGCCGCGCCGCACCGCACCGTTCAGTCATTCATTGCGCCGGAAGCTACGGCTACGGGCCCCATTCATATGTGCTGCCCGCCTCCTTGCGTACGCGCCACGTGGGCTCCTTCCCAATGCACGGTTTTTAGTGAAATGGAAACCCGGGGGAGGGGGGAGGGTCTTGAGGGGTGGCCCTGAAGGGGGAGGAAATTGAAAGGGGTGGAAAGTCAAAACGCTGTACACTGGAGAATGATAATACTTCCTCTCTACCCTACGGGAGCGAGAAAGTAAAAACACATTGGATCTAGAGTCCAGGGTCCAAGGAGACTTTAACGCACGGCTAGAAACATAGAGGTCACTTTCAAACTCTCATTCCCTCAGGCCAATTCTACTTCATCTGATTTGTTGATGTGTGTATTGCTTTTATAGACAATGAGCACCTATTTGTCACACACTGGGGAAAAAACACACTGGATCTAGAGTCCAGACTCTTAAAAACATAGACAAGAAAAAATACTCTTGATTCAACCGGATTTTTGCTTAAATCAAGAGCCAAGCCTCTTAATTTGAGCGGAATTCCTTTTGACTTAGGCACAAATCTGATTGAATCAAGAGTTTTTTTTCGTGTCAATGTTTTCGAGAGTATGGACTCTAGATCCAATGTGTTCTTTTTCCAATATACATAGTCTCACGACGGAAATGAATTACGAAACGGGAAGTCTGATAATCAAATCCTAAACAAGATACAAGTGTTTATACAATTAAGAATGGATGACAAAAATATAAATGACGTCATTTGTATAATCGAACTTCCATTTGAGCTTTGTTAAAAACGTTTGCTATAATATATCGTTAAGGAGTTGATTTCCGAAACTCCCATTGTATGATTAATTTTCTATGAAAGGTTTCGAGGAGAATTCAGTTGACTTATTTTTAGTTCAGACCCTGTTTAGTAGTTCGTTGCCATCAGGTGATGCTATGGTTGTGTAACAATTTCTCTTCTTCAATGGAGATCCGGCGGCGGAGAAAAAAAAGTCTTATGATGGTGATGAAAGAAAAATTTAGAGGATTTTCTCATTGAAAAGTCATGGAGATAAGAGCATTTAAATTAGTTTCTAGTTGTAAAAAACGTCCACTATCTTACAATCAGTTGCGCTTGATTTCGTTTACCAGCTTTTGAATTTTCATTCTTGAGATCGATACCCATGGCTGAAGTGCGAAACAACGTGCTTTCGTTTGCGACGTCGCAGACTTCCTACCCTCCTTTATTTTTTCTTTGGAAAACTAATGAACGCAGTTTCTTGAAAACTTCCTTGATTTTTTCTCTATGCTATTGCTAGCTCTTGATTTCAAGCTACTTGTATGAAGTTGGGTTGTTTCTCTTTGAAAAAATAATATAGGAGCAGACTTTTTGAAATACCGCACTGGAGATAGGCGGTTTCGCACTTTGGCCAACAAGGCAGGATTTACCTACTTGCCGCCCATGGGCCGCCTGTATTTTGCCGCCCCCTTCTCATTCGTTTTGAAACGTCAATAAAAACCATCAAGTGAACGTGCCAGCGGGGGAGGATGCAGAAGACGCGTTTACTCGTGTTGGACACATTTTTTGGGAAAGCCGTGTCGACACTCTTAGCAAAAGTTCACGGAACTTTGCGCGAAAATTAAGTTCCGTAAACCTATCTCTATGTGGACAAGGTCTTCCATTCATAAGAAATGAACGAAAAAATTATGAAAGAACAAACATAAATGTAGTTTAATGATTTTAATTTCCGCCGCCGCGTCGCGCAGACTGCACTGTGTTTGGCGCAATGCGTGAAGTATTCATGCATTCTTGTAGGCGCTATCCGTTTCACGCTGACTGCAGTGACCGCACTGTGTTTGATGCAATGCGTGAAGTATTCTA